CCCAAAACATAAAAGTTGTGGGCCTTTCTTTCTTCTTTCTAATGCTTCTTGAATTGCCCAATTCGGAGTCCGGAATTGTGAGTTAGGCCCAGATCACTGATTGTCGCCGAAACTGTGCAAAATCACTCGAATTGGCATGTTTCCTTCCAATTGCCTTCTTTATTGCCCTGAATCGAAATACAAGAATAATGAGTGCATTTAAGTATTAAAATAATGTAAAAAGATGAAAATTAGGGGACAAAAATAGGGTTCTTTTCAGTCTCATCACTCTTCTTCCTCCTTGTGCCTCTTCGAACAGGTGCACTCTTCTTTCTCCTTGTGCCTCTTCGAACAGGTGCATTGTTATGAAGTGACTCCTGTCTGAAATGACACATCTGTGTCCATTCGGGTCTGAGACTAATCTATAAAAGGGTGATGGTCGACATTCTTGTTTTCTTTGAGAAATTTGAGCATCAATCTTCAATGGTTCGTGGAGGTTTGGTAAGCGAGTGCACACCTATTAGTGGCCTATGGGTTGTTTTATCTTGGCGATCGATTTGCAATCACCCGGATACATCATAGGGGAAAAATACGGTTTTAAGGAAAGTGACCAAGTGGCACGACTCAGCCCTCCATCTTCCTACAATTCCCAGTTTCGAGTTCCTGCAACAACTTCACACCACTGCAACTTTGGTTTGGAAAGCAATTATCGATAAGTTCCATCTCCTCTCTTTACTGTTTTTACAACACTACTCCATCCAAATCAGAATAGTTGAACAAATAATAAAATCAATGTTTCTCTGTACCTGGCGAAATAAATGATGGGAAGTTTTTCATTGTAAGTCCCGACAATGGTGTTGAGAACACTTCAATGCTATGGTGGCTACCAATGCTAAAATCGTCATGGACAGAAAAAAAGAAGACATCAGTGACATATGATCCAATGACCACCGAATTCTAAACAATCGACACCAAGTTGTTTTGAGCCTTTGAGGTAGGGATCTATGTCGTTGTGGACTTGCAGGTGGGTTTTATGTCCCAAGGAAACGAACAGAGGGAATTGGGGAAGGATTTTTGAGAGGGATAATCTTCTCCAATATAAATTAGTTTTTGTCTTGCTTACTTGAGTTGGCATTATTTCCAAAAAATAATTGATTTGTCAATTTTGTAAAATTTATCACTTGTTTTGTAAAATGTCCTAATATCTATTATCATACATATAAATTTGTTTTTTATTTTATATACAAAAAATAAGAATTATAAAAATCATTTATAATATATGTATGCATACATATAATAAAAATTATGTTATATATAGGCTTGATTAGGCTTGCAAGTCTCACGAGTCGAGCTCGAATAGCTTGTAAAAAGCTCAATTCATTTGCACCCCTAGTTATAGGATTGTTACATGGTCTTCTTAGCCATAAGCAACCCATAGTAGATTGCGTTATTTCCAGTTCAGCTGAAGTCCCAAGAACAGTGGAACCATTTTGGCATAGAGAAATCATTAGTCATCATCTTATTATATGGTGGAACTGAGACTTGCCATGTTAGGCTCATTGGACAAGTCTATTGAGCAGTATTTTGTTTGATATTGCCATTACTATATCTATACTATATATAAAAGTGTGAATGCAATGTAAAACTATTTTGGACTAAAATTACCCTTTACTTATTTGTTTGAGAAAGGGTATAAAAGTCATTTTATTATATATTTAATGCCAACTTTAATGGCTACTAAAATGCCCATAATTGTGTATTTAATCCATATCTAATGGTAATGTTGAAAATGTAACTTCAATTATTACTTCCCACCTCATTTAATCCCCTCTCATTAAGTCTTATACTTAAATTATTAACTCCCATTTTCTCTTATTAAATTAGATATGTGTCAATATTTTTAACAATGTAAATCGGTATATTTTACAACTGACTCAAAAATAAAACAATTTTTAATCCAAGTGATGGTAAGCAATTCAACCATCAGAATCAAATTGATCAACCAGCGTAGTCATAGTTAGGTAATAAAAACTTTAAAATGAAAATAAATATAGAAACTTACAAAAAATGTAGAAAAAATTAGACACATTTATGATATTTTATTAATAAAATAAAAAAAACAAGTGTAATAAACAATAATTATTTTTATTGGCAATGGAAATGAAATACATAGTTTAGAACTGATCATAAATGAAATTATTTTATTGTTTGGCAAATATCAACAGTTCAAATTTTGGGTGAAACATGTTAACCTTTAATGTCATAAATAAACAATAAAGGTTAATAAAATATAAAAATACATAAATTTTGCAAAAAAAAATTAGGCACATGCATAATATCATATTAAACAAAAAGTAAGTGTTATATATTGGAATTTTTTTACACACAAAAATAAAAAACAAAACATTATAGAAAAATTTGAAAACATCTATAATTCTATAATTACACTACTATTAAAAATATGAATAAGATTGTAGAACTTTCTTTTGAGTAAAATACTCATTTCTGAATTTAGTCCCTATTTAATTATGAGGTTTAAATTGTAAATTGAACTACTACTTTTCACCCATTAAATTCCCTCTATTTAAATCTTACATTTTTTTGACAAATGAACCAAAAAAAAGATACACAAAAAAGATTAAATATTACAAGAAGAAGAATCTAGCCAAGCAAGTAGGCCTATCAATGATACTTGAAACTTCACAACTCATTATCACATATTTGGATGAGGTGTTTATGCAATCATATTTGGATTTTCAATCAACATCTGATTAATAATTAAAAACAAAAAATAAAATACATAAAATTTATAGACAAATTTGGATACATTATTACCATCATTATCATCATCTAAAATTACCACGTGCACACTTACTAGTAAATAAATGTTTTCCAATGATTGACTCTTTATCACACATACATCTCTATATACAAATCTAATGGTCGTAGAAGCATAGACCCCTCTCTCTCCACCTAGGGGTGTTAATGGATCGGTTTTGGGTTGAACCTGATTGAAATCAAAATCAATTTGAACATATTGAATTGGAACACTCCACATTATTGGTCCAAAGTATTTATTGGATTGGATTGGATCTGGTCCATCCATAAAAGATTTATATTGGATTGGGTCATTGAGCAAATGTCTCATCCATTGAATAGATTGAATTGGACTGATATAAAATGGTCCAAAATATTCATCATATTGGACTTGACCTAGTCCATCTGCAATGGGCTCATATTGGACCAAATCGGGTCCAATTGACACTCCTATCTCCACCCCCTAACTAGGGTTTATGGGTATTTTATGGTGTATATCCATCTTTGTTGGCACGAGTTGCGCTGCAATACATTTATACTGTTATACACCACATAGGAAGTCAATTCAATATGGGTTGGACTATTATGTGGATCTAAGTATTCATTCCGTTGTTGATATATCCCTAGGGCAAGCCAGGCACGGGTCCATTCCACGGGCCCAAAAGTTGCTCAGTGGATCAAATCGGAGCAGACCCGGCACGAAAGCCACACGGGCCTGCCATTCATTCATATCAAGCACTGCCTTAATGCCTTTTACTTTCTCAGTTTCTTGCACAGAAAGTTTTTTTATTCCACTCCCCTGCTAATTTTTATCAGAGAAAAACGCAAAGCCCTAAAGTCTAATTACAGATCAAGGAACTCGACCATGAGTCGTGGAAGTGGATCTGGTTATGACCGTCATATAACGATCTTCTCCCCTGAAGGTCGTCTATTTCAAGTCGGTAAGCATTGTCGTCCATCACTGCAGTTTACTTTTGGAAATTTCACATAAAAAATGGTGAAGAAGTTAGGGTTCCCAACATATTGAACAAATGTATTTTATTTGATTTTGTTTGAGATCTACATTCTAGCATTTCGAAACTGCTTGATTTTCTTACAGGATTTGTAGCTCCCTCCCCAATCCAAAGAGTATAGAAATTAAATATTTTGGTATTTGTGTATTTGAATGGACGAACAGAGTATGCTTTTAAGGCGGTAAAGGCTTCCGGGATCACCTCGATTGGTGTTCGAGGAAAGGATTCAGTATGCGTTGTCACACAGAAGAAGGTCCCGGTAGGTGCTATTTGGTAGATTGTCTGGAAATTACCGAATTCACAGTCTGAAAGATTGTGTATAATTATTTATCAAAAAAAAAAAAAAGATTGTGTATAGTTCAGTTCTTGGTTTCTGATGCAGGACAAGCTTTTGGATCAGACTAGCGTTACACATCTTTTCGCCATTACCAAGTACCTTGGATTATTAGCCACTGGAATGACAGGTTTACTCCTTAAGATTTTTTTTTTTTTTTTTTCTGAATAACTAGTTGTTTGAAATTTGAATTATAAGGGATGGCCATTTAAAGCAATATGTTGGGGTTTTAGCGATGTCCTGAAGCACGAGACTGTTGTCGTTTCTGTTTTCCCATTTATTTATTTTTTCCCAATTGAAAATCGGAGGGTTCATAAATCCCAATTATTTGTGGATAGCCACGTGAATACTGTCATGTTGTGTGCTCTATCAAGTGCAATTCTTTTTCTTTTTTGTCAAATTATGTCTTTAAATCATTATTCAGAGCATATTTTTCTTTTGTCTTCCCATATAGAACATTCTTTTTGCACCAATTCACACCTTACCGGTGTAGTCATTGGTTGTCCATGCACATAGCCAAATTAGTCAACTTTCCCTCGCATTGTCACTAACTCGAGTTACTTCCAACTCCTCTATTATGCATTTATTTCTGATTGTGTCCTGTCTAGTCTTGCCATTCACCCTTCTTAGCATCATTGTATCAGCTACACTCATTTTTGAACATATTTTTTGTTACTCAACACTCTCTCCCATATGGAAATGCTGTTCTTTCTCCTTTTCTATCCTAATGATATCAATTTTCCTAATTGAAATCATTTCGTTCCCAAAACCTGCCAGATGACTTCTATAGTGACCCTATCGCGTGTTCTTTTTAGGTCAATGAATACTGAGTGGAGTTTTCTCTTCTGTTCCCTGTCCCCTAAATTTTCTGTTGATATCCTAAGCAAAAAGATAGCTTCCATAGCTGATCTCTCTGGCATGAATCTAGATTTATTCTAATATACTTGTTTCATGTTTTAACCATTTCTGAATCCTCCTAATAGCATGACATAAAAAATTTAAAATATGCTCCCAGGAATAAGACATAGCATGTCTAACTACAGTATTAGACTATTAATAAGTACAAATAAACAACATAGTCAGTAACCAAACAAGAAAGTAAAATTTAAAATTTGTATGTTGCCTATAAATTATAAGATCAAATTAAAATTTTGTACTGGGTATTGCTTGGTGAGTTGAACATTTTCTTTTTCATTAATTATATTCTCATTACCAGCTGATGCAAGAACCTTAGTTCAACAAGCAAGAAATGAAGCAGCTGAGTTCCGTTTCAGATATGGATATGAGATGCCTGTGGATGTATTGTCCAAGTGGTATGCTAACATTTCTCTGTATTGCCAAAAAAATTACATATTGTATTCTTAGCAGAACCATTATTTGGTGTTCAGAATAACTAACTATCTTCCGTTAACCATTTTTTCTACTATTGAGCCTAAAATACTTGTACATTTGAAGGACTTGTATGATTGTCTAGAATGAGATTATGAGAAATGAATTCTATCTGTTTCATTATGTAGACTGACCAGCTGGTACATCTTTTGTATGAATGTTGTCCTTTTAACTTTATACTCCTACAAATATGATAACAATCTTTTACCTACCAAAGAAAAGGAGATATGTATTTTAGAAAGAAAATGATCACTGGTGAAAGTTCCTCTAAAGACCAACAATAATATGCAAAAGCTATTATCCATATCATTTTCCATCCAATCATATAATTATGATGGTTAGCTAGATGTGAGTAATGCATTGTATAAACCAAATCACAATACTTTTCTTTTATATGTGCTGTGGCTGATCAATGCTTGTCAGTGGCTCATGTCCAAGTGCCCTTTTGCATGTCTCATGTGTTTACATGTTGGATATTCCTAAGTTCCTAATGAGTAGCAAATTCCATAACTTGCACATGGTTTGCTTCTATAAAGTTCTTGTAGGGTATCATGGATGACTCACTTAAATGGCCTAACCAGCCAATTTTGTCAGATCCTTTTTTAAACAATTATGGTAGATTACTTTTGATGAATAACCAAATAAATCACGTCAGGAATCATCATTTATGGTAAATTGACAGTCCCAGAAGGTTATATGATTTTTGGGTTCTACAGAAGGTTTGATTTCTAGGATTATTGATCTGTCATATGGTTGGTCTCCAGATTTCCAACCATTTGGTCCATGTTAGATTTTGCTTTCTGATGATCCTGACAACTAGATGCTGAGACTGTAAATGTCAGAAAAGGTCCAACCTTTTACCTTGACTATAAAAAAGAAGCTCCAACCATTTTTACATGTGACCATGCTATAGGTGCTATGGTAAAATCTCAGGCTGAAAGGCATGAATAACAGGTTTGAGTCTGTTTTGTGCAAAAATATCCAGGACCAGCATTGGATAATGGCCTTTTTTACCATGCTATTGGTAAATGTCCCAATTGTAGCATGTCAATCAGCTAAAATTTTCACAACAAATCACCTGATCGAATGAATTACCTCTTGCTAATATTCATAGGAAAAATCTGCTGCCAATTGCAAACAACCAACATGAAAATATTGAGCTGCCATTAGAGTGAGTGGCAAAATTGAGGACATGTTTCTGTTGGGATAAGAAACCACCACAACATACCAATATAAAAAAAAAAGAAGCCACCACAGCATTACTAGATAAAGGGAATAGTGAATCACTTCTTTCAGTTATGTTTGAGAGGGGGGTTGATTGAGTTATGTTAGAGAGAGGAAGGGGAACCAACACTTGTGAGCTATGGGGTTGAGAGGGGTCCACTTTAAGAAGAAAGGGTCGGTGGATTTAGGTAGGAGAGATCTGTGGGCTAAGTTGAAAGTTTTAGGGGGGGGGTTAATTTGGGAAGGCTTAAAAGATTTTGGAGGAGTTCAAATGGTTTGATTAGGTGGAATAGGGGCAGTAAAAAGGAAGGGGATGGCAGATTCTTTAGCAAAACAGGGAGTTTATAGACAACAACTTTTCTCGGCCTTGTTGTAACACATTGTGAAGGATTAGCTGTGTTTTCTGTTTTTTCTGCAATCCTGTAACTGTTTTCATCACAATTATTAATAAAATTAATCTTTCCTTGCTGATAAAAAAGGAAGGGGCCTCATGTGAGAAGAGGGTTTGGGTTATAACAAGGGTTGGGTCTGGAGAGAAAGAAGTGCAAGTGGCAAAGAGTTCTGAGGTCATGGAAGATAAATGATCTAAGTCTATAGCAATGTTTAGTGCTTTAGAAGTCTCTGCTAGGAAGGATGAAGAGACCACTCTATGTGGAGTTTCTGGTGGTTCTAGATCACGAGACCGCTGTCTGGCCTTGATCTAGTTGGGCTTTTTCCTTTGGATTTAGTTGCTTGTTGTCTTGAATGTGGTTCAGCTTCTTCAGAGATATCACTGAAGCAGGTGAGGGAGGATATCACATGCAATTAAGGGAATGATCATTTTGACGTGGAGGACAATGTTGTCGAAGGAGTATCAATGAAAACCTAATTGAAGAAGTGATAGTTGGAACTTCTAAGGATTGGAGTCGATTTGGGTAGGAAAAGGTTGGTGTCTAATTGTGTAGTTACTGGTGATTTTGGTGGCTGTGAAGAAACCTAGTGTAAGTATGTAATTTGTCATCATTAGAATTGTAATAGAAACCTTGGATAAGAACCACATAGAGAAACCCCAGACAAAGAGAGCGTTGTGATCAAGTTGGGGAAGACGATAAACACAATGTCCAAGGTACCAAAGCAACCGAGACATCTCTGTAATAGCATGACGACACTTTACAAAGGCAATGTAGGGCTAATACACTTGCGATGAGCACAAAATGCTATCCCAATGTTTTAAAAGTGTAAGGCACAAAAAAAGCGCTAGGGTCAATTGGTGCTCGAGGCACGTGCCTTTTTGAAGCAAGGCGCAAAAATAAAAAATATGCTAAAAAATAAAAAAATGTCAAAAAAATCAAAAAACAAAAAATATTAATAAAAATATAAATTTTAAATTTTAAAATTTAAAATAAATGTTTTAAAAAGCCTTTTATCTAAAATTAAAATACATTAACATAACATGTAAAGCATATTCAAATGTGAATTTAAAAAAAAATCAGACATATAAAACATTTTCAAGCATGTAAAACTCACAATCTCTTTTTTCCCCTCAATTGCATTACTTAAATTAGCTAATGTGGTGTAAAACATGTTACATTCTTGATTCTACGAGCCACCTTTATGCCACGCCCCTTGAGGCAAGCCCAAACAAGTCCATGTTAGAGTCCTAAATTCTTAGTTCTCACACAAAAAATAATGATTTTATAATTTTAATTGCTTTTTAAGAAGATATTTTAGTAGGATGAATGAATGAACAACATTACCAAATTATAAAATCATTATTTTTTGTGTGAGAACTGAGAATTTAGGATCCTAACATGGACTTGTTTGGGCTTTCCTTGAGGGGTTTGGCACGGGGGTATCCGCCCCCAGCCCAGCTGCTAGGTTAAAAAAAGCGACAAACTGGTGCGCCTTTTGAAAGGACTACACCTTAGGACTTGGGTGAGGCACCTACCCTAAAGTGTGCCTCACCTGTGCACCTAGGCACGCCTTTTAAATCACTGTGCTATCCAGGACTTGCGATGAGCACAAAACGCCATCCAAGATTTGCGATGAACATAAAGTGCCGTTCGAGATCTGTGATGAGCATAAGGTACCATTTGGGACTTGTGATGAGCATAACACGACATTACAGGTTTGTGATGGACACAAAACATCATCTGCACCTTGCGATGAGCATAAAGCATCATTCAAAACTCACAATGAGCATAGAATAGTAGCACACGGTTGTGGTGAATGGTAGATGAAGCTCAAAACTGGCAATACCTATTCACAGTCGACTTACGCCTTTCCTGGCCACAAGCTATGACGAGGCGCCTCGAGGATGACTAATGGGACGCTCGAATATGTCAGCTGATCAAAGACCTTGTTCTCGACATGTGGTCGTGAGAGAACCCATGAATGGATGTAGCCAACACGTGCTATGTGAGAATCCTCAAGAAAACAGAAACTTTATTCCTAGAGGATCTCGTTGGACATATGGCGAAACCCTAGTGGAGTTCGTTAGATAGCTGACGTTAGAGCAAAAAGATCGCCTTCCCTAATAGGAAAAGTTCTCTTTTGGACTCTTCTCTTTATAGTCTCGGGAATCTCTCTATAAAAAGGGGAAGAGACAAGCACTAGGACACGAGAATTCTCAGAATTCACTAATTGAAAACCCTTTAGCCTTTTCTCCAGAGAATTAAGCCTACCTGCAATCCTGACTTGAGACCAATCCCATCTTTGTCATTCAAGGAGACCAATTTCTATAAGGATCAAGTAAGTTTCATCTTGTGCATGTTACTTAGGTTTTCTCACAGTTGAAAGATGGATTTGTTGGGGCTGGCCCTAGTAATAGGTATAAAAGAGTCTTCATAAGAGCCATGATTCATTAACTCTCGACGAGTCCAGGAGTCAGAATATCGTTTCTCAGAGTTCTAATGAAGGGGAGTTGAAGAGGAATGGAATTCTAGAGGTGAAGGAAAAGGAGCATATTGGTGAAACTGTGAGGACTGATGGAGAATTGAACTCAGATGTAGAGAAGAGGAAGAATGGAGGATTGAAATTAAGGAATCTCATTGAGAGGGATGTGGAAGTGGGAAAAGCTTTGGGTCTTTTCAGGCAGTGAGACCTTTGTAAGAAGGGTTTTTGAAGAGTTTAAGAAACAGAAAAAGGAAGAAGGTTGTAATAGTACCATTCCAAAGGAAGGACAGGAAGAGGTTCTTGATGTAGAGGAGTAATATTGGTTGATGGAAGGAGGTTGAGGAGGTAGTTTCTTCAGGTTTTTAGCGGAGGTGGTTGGATGCTTGTTTGAAAAGGTTTAAAAAGGGCTGGTTTGGAGATGATTTCTTCTTGAGAATGTATGTTTTTGCTTTTGTTTGGTTTTCGGAAGGTGGAGTTTGTTTTTGGTCTGGGTTTTATGTTTGTAAGGTTGCATTTTTGTTGGTTATTGTAGTGGTGATTTCTTATCACCTTTCTCTTATAAATGCTTTTTTCTTTTCAATGAAATATTTATTTTACTATAAAAAATCATATGTTAAATAACTTAAATTTGCTGTTGTTTTCTTTTTCTCTTTTTCTATGTTAGCACAGGTGGTTAGTGTCCTGTATAATCTATCTTTTGGACCCAAAAGATAAAATGATTATAGCATGTAAGCGGTTTACTTAAAGAAATCATTGCTGACTTGTCCTGCCTTTAAACTTCCACCCTCCCTTGTGAAGAAAATGACTACGAGTATCCAAGCTAAACTAAGCCAAGACATTCTCTCTTGGCTATTCTGTAAAAAAGTAATAGAAGCCAGGAGAAAGAAGGAATGACTTCCAACCTCTATTGATTGACTTATGTTGGATTCCTTGGATGTTTCTTCAGGATTGCAGACAAATCACAGATATATACTCAACATGCCTATATGAGACCTCTTGGAGTAGGTATACTTTTGGTCTTTTACACATGTGCATAATAATATGCATCCTATATCGTCAAGCTTTATTTAACAATTTATTCATGTGTTTAATTATTTGTTATCTGAATTTCCTATTTCTGTTGTTTACCTTCTTGACATTTCCTTTTTTTTTTTTTATTTTCCCTTCTGTATCTGCATTATGAAGCTGCTATGGTTTTGGGTATTGATGAAGAAAATGGGCCTCAACTCTTCAAGTGTGATCCAGCTGGCCACTTTTTTGGTCATAAGGTATTTGTGGTTTTGTTCCTTTCACTTAACAAGATACTTATTTCTTTCTTTATGTTTTCTTACTCTTTGGTATGAATTTATTTCAAATATGAAGCTGGGGGTACAATGTTTTGCTCTACTAAATCCGATCTTCATCTAGTTTCTTGTCCATTAATATGCTTTGGGGAAATATGAAAGAGCTACTTTGTTCTGCCATAAATCCAGTACCAACAAATTTCTGAGTAAGAGGCCCATAAGGACATGGGTAGAAGTAATGAGAAATGATTTAAGCGCCAATAATTTAACAATTGTTATGGCATTAAGCAGAATGGAATGGTGAAAAGGGATTCATTAGCCAACCCCATATAGTTGGGATAAGGGTTGAATGATGATGGTGAAACTGAATGACTTATTGCTTTTAGTTAATAATTGTCAAGGAAGTTGTGAGCTCCTTAGTGGCTGAAGCTGAAGTTGGGGTTGACTTTTATATCCTCAGTCATTATCAAATGGCCCCTCAATATCTATTGGCTGGCATTCAGCCTGCCAAAACAGTTATAATCAGTGTTTAGAAAACTGTGACCAGGAGCTTGGGCGGTTTAGTCATACCCAATAACTACTTTTGATAAAAAAACTGGGGAAAACCGGCTGATCGAACGGTTAACCGGAAAACCAGTGAACCAGTCCCGGTTTCATGAAAGTGCCCAGGCCCTTTAATAATTGAAATTTTAAAATGCATTTGATAAGACTTGAACCCTAGTCGTTTGCTTTAAAAATTAAGGAACTTGCGATCTATCAACCATATTTAAATGTATTAAAAGTTGGGGTAAATTACAAAGACCCCCCTGTACTATGGGGTATGTGACAAAGACCCCTCTGTACTTTGTTTTGCAACAAGGACCCCCTTGTACTATGACCATGAGACAAAGACCCCCTTCCGTTTGCATTCCGTCCAGAAAGGCCGTTGTAATATTTTTTTAATCTCTATACTACCCTTGTAATAACTATTCTGACGAGAAAAAATACTGTTTATCTTCCCCAACCTCACTTTCTCTCTCCTGATCTCTCTTCTTCTCCTTTGTCGGCCCTATCGCCGTTTTGTTTCTGTAATTTCGTTCCCTCTACGAGTTTTATTCTTCAGTACCAGGTCAAGATGCTCCACATTTCTCTCTTTTCTCCCCCCTGTTTTTCTTTCAAGTCGTTAACAGCAGTAGGAAACAACTGGTTCAGCGGTGACAGAGGTCGCGACAACTGTGGGAAGGAGATGAAATAGAAGAAGAAAACGAATCCTGGAAATCAGTGATGGGTTTGAAGGCAGAGGCGGTTGTGGAAGTGGAGGAGCCATGGAGGAATCGAAGGTCGACATGGATTAACAGAGGAGTCTTCAAAAGAGGGACGCAACTACTTTCTACCCTCTATTTCTGCAAGTACAAGAGTAAACATAAACTATACTCACAAGTTGCCGTTGTCGTTGCCAACCTTGCATCTATTACCACCTCCACCCGACGAGTATCCGCTGGATTTCGAGATGCAAGTGACCATTGCTCGCTATCCTACTGCACGGATGGTCTAATTGATGCCATCATGGGGTCCATCGGGATTACCATATCCAACAACTACTTTTCCCATCACAATGATGTAATATTGCTTGGACACAACGATGAGTATTTGCTGGATATCGGGATGCAAGTGACCATTGCGTTCAATCACTTCGGTGAGGGGCTCATACAGAGAATGCCTAGGTGTAGGCATGGCTACATCCACATCGTTAGCAACGATTTCACACAGTGGTAGATGTACGCAATCGACGGTAGTGCCAATCCCACCATCAACAGTCAGGGCAACCGCTACATTGTGCTGTCGAACCCAGATGCCAAGGAGGTACAGTAGTAACAGTACTACAAACTACAATATTAGGGATTTATCGATACCATGCGCCCTTGTTGCCGTGTTTTTGCTAACGTGCACTTTGTGGTGTGGGTCGGGTCGGAGCAGGTGACAAAGCGGGTGGATACGGATGAGGGCAAGTGGACGAGTTGGAACTGGAGGACGGAGGGCGACATAATGGTAAATGGAGCGTTCTTTGTGCCATCCAGGGAGGGTATGGGGGCGAAGTACGCCAAGGCGTTGAGGGTGGAGCCCAAATCGGCTAGGCTCATTGACCAGTTAACCATGAATGTCGATGCCTTTGGAGGAGGTATGCCTTTTCTCTCTTCTTGGGTTGTTCACTCCTCGGCGATGACAGAGGAGTCTTCAAAAGAGGGATGCCACTGCAATCCTCCGCCGGTGGAAGCGGAGGCGTCGGTGATGGGTTTGAATCCGCCGCCGCTTCAATCCTTTGATCTCATGTTTCCTTCCACTCTTTCAGTAGAGATTTCTTGCCAAAGTTATCGTTTTACCTCTTCATCAGAGATACTTCTTTTGGGTGTTATTTTCTTGCTGGAATTGAAAGGTAAGAGAGGACGGTGAGGGAGGGGAAAAGAAGAGAAGAAAGGGAAAACAATAGGTTAAATAGGTTTTAAGAGAAAAAGGGCAAAAAAAAGAAAATAGAAAAAGTTTAATGGGGTATTTTGGTAATTTAACGCATTCCGTCATCTGACTTGACGGTCAAGGGGGTCTTTGTCTCATGGTCATAGTACAGGGAGGTCTTTGTCGCAAAACAAAGTATGGGGGGGTCTTTGTAAATTGTAATTTACCCTAAAAGTTATAAAATATATTATATAGTATTTATATAATCCGTAGTATGTATATATATATATATACATGTCATCACGGTTCGACCCTGGTTGAACCTTTGACCCATGAACCTCTCCCTTCTCCAGTTCTATGTCCGGTCTGGTTCTCTGAATATTGGTTATAATTGTATATACCTTTCCAAATGAGCGTATAATCATGTAAATCTGTGTGCATATTAGTGAAGTGGTTAAATCCATGGGCATTTAATTATTTAAGCCCTTTTGATGAGCATATAGTTATATAAGCACATAACGTTGAGGCAGTGTTTTATACTTTCCATGATTTCACCCTAATCAAACATGGGTGTCATAGTTAATTATTCCTAACCAGCCCCATGATCCATGAGAAACGGATCTCATAGATGGACCTCATAGTTTCACTTGTTTCTTCCCCTTACAGGTTGGGGACTCTAGATCCTTTGTTACTTGGGAAAAAAGGGAACCAATGCCCGTACAGGAAGGCCTGAAATTTATATAAGGAGTGAAAGGGTTACAAGGAATAATTTGGTTTGTGGGGCTCTGCGGGTAAATTGTAATTCGGGATACTTACTCTTCATCATGCTGTCTTAATCTGCCATCCTGTGGACTCTCTGGAAGGAAAGAAACAACCAAATCTTTGATAACAATTATTCTGATGTAACTTCAGTTAGAAACAAGGTTTTAGGCTTTGTGTGTTCCTGGTTAAGTGTACAAAGGGCATTCATGAGTGTCCAGCTTCTCTCTCTTTTTTTTTTGCAAGCTGGACCTTTCTTTCGTTGAATCTTTTGTATATTCCCAATGTACAGGCTCTCATTCTACATGGGCTGATGTTTCTTGATTTCTCTCATATTTAATACAATACAATACAATACTTGATCTGTTTCAGAGAAGAAAAAGCTGTTGTAGTTATCTCCATTATTCTAAACATTCTGGAATGCTTTGAGTGCTTTCAATTTTCTACATTAATGTACCTATGATGATTTGCTGTTTCTGTTTAGAAGGACTCTATATACATTTCTTTGAATGAAATCAAGAGGAATTTCACATTTGTAATTGTTTTAAGTTGGCTACTAAGTTGACGCATTTGGAACCTTATTTTGATTTAACATGTACATAAGCACAAATGTCTGATCTACCTACTTCTTTATCAGGCTACAAGTGCTGGCTTAAAAGAACAAGAGGCAATTAATTTCTTAGAGAAGAAAATGAAGAATGATCCTGCATTCTCCTACGAGGAGACCGTACAGGTAAGCTGTCTTTCTTAATGAATTTTTACATGTATACTGGTCATTTAGGCATCTCCAAGGTGGCATCTTACAAGTTGAACAATCTAGAAGAGCTAGGGCAGGCCAAAATACATGGATTGAAGTAGTGAGAAATGATTCGAGGACACATAATTTAACAATGGGCATGGTCCCGAACAGAGTGGAATGGGTGGAACAGGATTCATGAAGCCAACCCCATATAGGTGGGACTAGATTTTTCGTCCTGGCATTTACCCAAACAATTGTACTAGTGAATTGGTGTTTGGATATCTACCATGTCCTGGGTTTTGATGGTTTTGAACATTTTGCCAGGGCAACTGCCTGGTTGAACCACCAAATCTGCCACCTGACCATCTTTATGGGTCAATGTCCAGTTAAGTTTTTAAAAGGCTGGTTGGGGCATGGCTTTGTTAAGTTGTTTGTTTCTTCTAAAGGGAGAAAGAAAGGCTTTGTCCTGATTCTTTCAGAATTATATCGGGAGTTGCCTTTTAGTCAAGGTTCAAAATTTCGATACGGTACACCCTGTATCGGGCTATCATATCGTATCTTTTGGGTCCCAATACACCTGTTTACAGGTGTTTCGGGACCCCACTTTTTTTAATGAAAAATAAATGTATTTAACTCCTCAAAAACCAATTTTTGAAAAAAAAACCATGTTTCCACGTGTATCAAAGTACCGATACACAGGCGTGATACATTGAACCATGCTTTTAGTTTCTTCAGAACTTTTTTATTTGAATAAGTAATTCATTTCCTTATTAGAAGAATGCTGTTATTACATAGAGCCATCATACAACAAGGTGCTATATTAGGAGCATTACTTCAACATAAAAGCTAGAGTTTCCTCAGCTGTCACCCCTCTAAGGTCTGCTTAACCAATCCTGAACAACACCATACGACTTCCAAAAATCTCCAGTCCAATATCTATGAGCTGAAATTGCAGTGCTGAAAAAGCTGATGGGATGACACATCTAGCTTCCTTCAAAGTGCATGACTCAGGTACTGTAATTCCATACCTCTTGCTATTGGTTTGTCTTTGATTGGGCTTTTGAATACCTCTTTATATTTCTCTCCTTCATACCTCTGCTATGAATAGTCCATAGTCCATACCCCTTCATATAAAAGAGGTATGGACTTACAGGACCTGACTCCTGAGTCATGCACTTTGAAGGAAGGTAGATGTTTCATGCCATGATCTTTTTCAGCACTGCGATTTCAGCTCCTGCTATTAGACATATGGACTATTCATAGCAAGAGGTATGAAGGAGAGAAATATAAAGAGGATATACAAGAAAAGGAGGGTTTTGATACAAAAGGCCAAAAGCCCATTCAAGACATATTTAAGCTGTTAGAACTATTCAAACAATTTCTCTCCAGACCCAATTTAGCTAAGAAATCAACTATTTGATTCAGATTTCCCGGAATCCATCTATAGTAGCAGCCAAGGGAAACAGTATTTAATGCAGGAAATGAGCCAGCCTCCATGGACTTGTCCCAATATTCATTGCCCAGCCAAACACAATCCTAGAATCCCCCTCTACAAGCAAGGGACCAGAGATAAGATCTTTGGCAAATCTGAGACCTTCAAGAAGGGCTTGAACTTCAGCTTCAGATACATCCCTTGCAGTGACAGAACCACTAATAGCCCTAATCAGAATTCTATCAGCTCTCAAGATAACCCCTCCCAATTCCAGCCTTCACCAGTGTTTCTCAAACTACCATCAAACTGCAAGATGAAAGCAGTAGGTCTTGTGGGAAAGATCATTAGTTCTTTCATATAATACTTCATTTGCATGATACCAAGATCTTCTTGCTGATGCACTAGCAAGAGAAGGGGCTGGTTGCTAGTCAGGTTTTACCTGGTCCAATAGCTCATATGATTTTGTAGTAGTCTTGTATCTTTTTTTCTGGCATGTCAGAAGTTGATGTTTTCTATTTTAAAGAAAGTCTTTCATTTTTTTTTTTGATATCTTCTGAAGGGCTACACAATGGGGGGGTAGCCCATCCCCCAACCCAGGTGCAGGCAGGATTCGATCCCAAGTCTCCGCTACGACCAGCAGGCGATCTTACCAACCAGCTGGTTGGCACCTTTCCAGATGTTTTCTATTTCCCCCTGCTATTTCTTTTATCAGGGTCTTTTTCTGACTAATACAATTCAACAGGCGTTTTAGTGATGAAAAAACAAGTAGTTTGAATTTTCGAGTATACTGGACATGCCATTAGATCCTTGAGTAATTGAGCTTTTGGCCAATTAAACTTGATATTTCATTCTTGAGTGAACTCAACAAAATTTCCATGGTACTGGGTTTTCTTTTTTAGAGAATATGTGTTGGTTCTTAGTCGTTTTTCCCGTAAATGGTTCTTTATTGAATTACACATTTTATTAGCTTTAACTTTTAATTGATATTTTACTAATATTATTTTACATATAAATTGTAGTTCATTTATCAAGTTATACATGACTATCTAGTTGTATTCAAGCATCTAATATTGCCACTTTTTCTATATTTCAGACTGCAATTTCTGCTCTGCAATCAGTTTTACAAGAGGATTTCAAGGCCACTGAAATTGAGGTATCAACTTCTTTTGTTCATTCAACTCATTGGTAGTGTAAGCAAAATTTTCATGATCCAGTTCTTTGTATTGGTAATATTACATTTGGTGTTATGGACTCCCCATGATTTATGATTCCTGTGAAAAGGGGTATTAATGCTCTGTCTAGGTAGTTGTCTTAAAACACTGAGTAGATTATTCACTTATTTTCTGTTGCAAAGTTTTTCACCACTTGTTTACTTCTTTATCTCTTGCTGGATAATGATGCAAGTCCTTATGTTGTGTTTCTTGTTTTCTACTAGACAAGAGTTTGTTGAAATTCTGGGGCTATCAATTTAGGCTTTCTCAAAAAAACTTGTCATGAATAATCTGTTTTTTTTTTTTTTAATTTTCAAAAACTGCATCCACTCAATGCTCCTTCTGTTTTGTTATACAGTTATGTATCATAATATGCTTTTGCTGATGCGGCAGATTATTTTTTGTTTTTGAAAAAAAATCGTACATATTGGGGACCACATCTAAATTTCTGTGTCAACCCGTCAATCCAACACCCTTTCCCTGCATTAGGTTCTGGGTTTCTTTCCTTAATGCTGACATGATGGTCGTCCAGATGCAAAAGGAACCTGTTGATGTGTTCCCTCAATTTGTTCTTTTTTGGTTTTTATCTTGACCTGTGCCTGATTTTCTAATTCTTGACCTTCTCATTTTTCAGTTCACATGGGTGGGAATCCCCACACCCCAAGAAAAGAAAGGGTTGGGGAAATGATCCAAAAGAAAATTTATGCCTGGTCTTAAAACTAACTAGATTGACAATTGTCTGATCAATGCTGTTATTTGGAATTTGGATGAAGGAAGAAATTGTTAATTGTAGCAACTAGCAACAAGCCCTATTGGTTCTAAAGATCCAGTTGCATCTCTTGTTCCGTTTGGATCAGTTCCACCCATTCTCGTTAATGGGGAAGTCATGATGTACATATGTAATATGACCTACATGGGCAGATAATACACTGGATTATTCCCTAGCATCACTACTAGTAGGTGAATGATTATAGAAATGGAATATTGTCTTGAATTTATTTGCATGTGTGCGTTTTATGGAGAAAATTACATGCAATCACCTTGGACATTTGGATGTTTATAGGTGGGAGTCGTTAGAAAGGAAAATCCAGTTTTCAGAGTGTTGTCCACGGAGGAGATTGATGAGCATTTGACAGCCATAAGTGAGCGTGACTGAGTCGCTGAGTATGTACCAGAGCTACATGGCATAAACTCTCCTGCAGGTTGATTAAAGACAAATCTGTTATTTTTTTGTTGTTACCATAATTATTGATGTTGAATCCAAACTGGCAATTTAAGATTTCCTGATCCTATTATCAGAGAACATTTTCATGATCTTCGGGCATAACCCTTCTGTAAACTTGTTCACCGGAAATTTTACTTTTGGCATAGGCGATTGCATTAGAATCTAGTGGTGCAAGTCTTTTGGGCAATGCGTGGAAAACGAAATCTACCAAACTCGGTGGGTTTCTTTCTTTGATAAATAAAAAGACGACACAAACTGTTCTATACATAAAGCTGGGCTGCCCCTCCAAATACAATCCTGACTAGTAACTTTTTAGAATAAGTCAATGCTGCAACAACATTCTTGGCATTAGACAAAATAGGGATGGATTTCCTTTGATTATCCTTATTCATACCAAGGGCTTTCCATATTGTTCCACATTCAGACTCCGCAGGGTCATAAGAACCCAAAATACTACTTGTAGCCAAAACAAAATTTTTATTTTTATCAAAAACACAAATTCCACAGATAATAAATCCCATCTATCCACACCCTCATTACACTTGGGGCTTGTTCGTTTGTTCTCAAGTTTGATATCTGAAAGTGTAATAAGTACATTAAGAGGGATATTGGTATTCGTGAGTTTTTTGTTTTATGAACTCTAAATGTTGTTTTGAATTCTAAATTTTGAAAATTACTAAATATCCATTTTGACCCATATATGAGAATTTTTGTTTATCTTTTTTATGGGTTTCACTAGAAAACAAAAATTGTATGAATGCATTTTAAGAGATAAGAGGAAATATACAATCATTTTTCTCTTATGTTGCGTCCTGTAGAGATGTAAAATCAAACCAGGGTAAAACTTTACACTCCGATTCGATTTTGTATGCATTTGGTAGAGGTGTCAAAGTCCAATCTTGTTAGTGTTTTCATCGAAAATCAGTGGAAACTTTACATAGATAAAGTCGATGTAAAACTTTACCTTCCTCTTCCTCTATCCAACGGTTACCTTGCGTTTCCTATCCAACGGCTACATGTCTTTGTTCGATGGAAGAAGAGAGTGAACTAGTTCAACGGTAGCATCCCCTTAACCCTTCTGTTTTCGTTCTGCCTCGTCTCTCTTCAATATCACTCATTAGTCTTTAGTCATCGAGAACATATATTTCATTTTTTACAGCTAAATCCGGCCTCGACAGGCCGCTTCTTAACATTTTGTCTTAAACCAGCATTCTCCGGTCAGTGCGTCGTGCAGCTCCGGACCCGAATGTCACGCCTTTGCAATGAACTTTTTTCGGCGAAAATGACACTTTTCATTTTTCTCCTTGTCTCATTGGAAGTTTGCTTTTCGGAATCTGTCAACTCCTTGCCTATTGATGCAATGTCGCTTCTCAACTTCAAGAGCTCTATTTCTTTCGATCCATTGAACCTCCTTTCTGACTGGAATCCTGTGACAAACCACTGCGATTGGTATGGAGTTCAATGCAGTCCATTTTCTAGTAGTCATTGCTCTGGATCTTACGAGGACTTTGACTACCCCTTCAAGGGAGTTCTACAATTCAACCACAAGAGACAATAGGCTCGTGGAACCCTGGCTCCGTCAATCGGGAACCTGATGCAACTTCGGGTGTTGTCCATTCCTTATAATGCATTCCATGGCGAGATTCCGACCGTGATAGGAAGACTTGCGTTTCTTGAAATCCTTGAGCTTCAAGGAAATAACTTCTTTGGATGGAAGATTGGTGGCAGTCACCGTCGGGTCTTGAAGTTGAAGGTAAGAAAAGGGAAGAGGATGTCGTGGGAGTGGCGGAGATGTCAGAACATAGCTCACCGGTATCTATGGCCGTTGCTCACTCATGCCTATTAGTGCATACAACATTGCTTCACCTTTTTCGGTTGAGACCTAGATTGAAAATTTATACCATAGAAAACCAAGATCAATGTAAATTTTCAAAATCAACTGGTCTTAATTTCTATCCATCACTAAACCGATTTATATTTTTTATGTAAGATTTGAATTTACACATTAAACAAATGCAGCCTTAAAATTAAAAGATTTTTTTTTAAAGATAAGAGTTAAGAGCACTTAATTATGTAATCCTAACGATCCAAATCCAAGTCAATATTAGAATACTGAAGAGCGGAAACCAAAACAGAATCCTTTAATTGCACCCTACCATTAAACAAACACCTCCACCTATAATGTTAATATTCGTTCATATGCATTGACATCAATTCTGAGATGACACGTGGAGCTGAGATTTGTTGGGGGTGGATTTAAGAGTAAAAACCCCTAATACATGTACGGATAATATTGATTGTAAGTGGCCTTGAATATAATGTGATCACGATCTTGTGAGAACTGATACATGTACGGATAATATTCTCACTGCACGGCTGAACGTGATGCGAGGTTTAGTGTGAGTGAGGATCAAATCCGGTCGGCGGTCTCCCATTAATACGCCGCGCTATGATTTTAATTCGGTCATATTGACCCATATCCACCTACATCATTGTCCCACAAGCGACAAGGTGAGATGATTATACAGTACGAAGCTGCAGTCTTCTGATGGAGAAATTTCCGGTTTCCACGATGCTACTGAACTTCGAAAAGTTCGTGTATCAAGTATCAACCCCATACGGAGCTACAGTAATTTTGTATTAGGTTTGGGTAGCGTGTATAAGGAGCTTGCATTTCATGCGCCACCGTCGTGCATGATAAATTCATAATTCAGGAAATGTGAGTACTTAATGTTTGCAATAAATTCAATTCATTACATCAGTTGCTTTTTTAGTTATTCATGATAACATCTTTTCAATGCAAAGGACTGAATTCGATCTGTTGGTTAGTCATGAAAAAATATTTCTAATGCAAAAATTCGGATCCAGGCCATATAAAAAGGTTTTCACACTGTATTTACAACCACTTGTAATTATTTTTTCATAGATGATCGGACCTCGATCCTATTTTGTCTTTATTTCGGAAATTTGGATTAGATAAGATAATCGGATTCAATTAAAAATGATATAGGTTTCTCCATATATATATATATATATGTTATTTATTTATAAATATGTTATTTTATTATTTTTTATATTCTTCATTTTTTGTATAAAAACATGTATATACATGATGAAAATAGTTGAAAAATGTTTTTTTTTTTGTTTTTCTTTATTTAAACTATTATATTTATTTTTTCTTTTAATAATTTATTAAAATTTTAATTAGATTGGATCGGATCATATTCGGTATCCGACATCTTTATTGGATTCAAATCCGAATCAATATTTGTGAGATTCGATCGGGTCAAATCTGATTCGATCCATTTGCATCCCTATTCATAGGGAGATATTTCCAATTCACAACTATAAGTGATTGCGAGTATGGTGTGAGCACCGTTTATGTGAGGACTGAATCTGATCTCCTAATACATGGTTCCGATGTTCTGTGAAGAAGGTATGAGGAAAGTGTAAATCCAAATTCTGGTAATGTTAAGTAGTGGGCTAACACAATTTATTGTACCTTGTTAATATCTTAGTGCCATTTTGATCATTAGACAAGTCCTCTGATGAGGTCCATTTGAACCCTAGCCTTTGAAGTTTGACCTAATGAATTTGGATTTGCTCCTCAAAGAGTCCTCCTAACACCATACTCAAAGCACATTGCAATCTTGTATTGAGAACATTTCCCTTGATTCTATGAATGACAAAATACATGTGTGAGAGATATTCCTAATTCACGGCTGAATTTGTTATGAGATTGGTCTAAGGAGCTTATGTGAGGAGCATATCCAATCGTTGGCCTAATCCATCAAGTCAAAAAACAAATGGGAAAATTCCTGAACAGTACCTTTAACTTTGGGGGTTGTGTCAAGTCAGTCTCCAAACTTCAAAATGTGTCTCTATAGTATCATGAACTTTAAAATTGTGTCTAATAGGTCACTACCATTAGTTGACCGTTAGTCAACACCATCACGTGACATCAGGTGCACATTAAATAATTTCAAGATGGCAAAATTACCAATTCGGTTACAGTTGATTGTCTGGTTACAATTGATTGTTGAATGGGGAAATGAGAGCTTTAACAGTTAATCAATGTCTAGTTTGATAACCCTTCTTCCCCTTTCCTTCTTCTAACACTTAAACGAAATGGGTAAAATGGTTAGAAAAATATCACAAGGAGTAATTTTGCCATTTTGAAATTATTTAATGCGCACCTCATGTCACGTGATGGTATTGACTAACGGTCAACTAACAATAGAAACTTATTAGATACAATTTGAAAGTTTAGGATACTGTAGAGACACGTTTTGAAGTTTGGGGACTGACATGACACAACCCCCAAAGTTCAGGTAATGCTTAGGAATTTTCCCAAAACAAATACATATTGCCTATACGAAAGACACTGTGCAAATTATATCTCTTAGGCCCCGTTCGCTTTTCGGTAAGTTACTTACCCGGGTAAGTGCATTTACCTATATTATTTTATTTCCCATGTAAATAAGGGAATGACCATTTTAGCCATAAAAATCTATTATTAAATGGGGCATTTTTGTCCCATTCAAGTGTTGGTAATTTTTCCCCTAGGTGGGAAAGTTATTTACCCACCTAAGAGATGGGTATCATTTACCTAGGAAAATAAACTTTCACTGATCCCTACATAAATCTGAAAAAAGAACATGGGATTCTTAGTCAGTGGGAATCAAAATCTCATTGACCAACTTTCCATCCTCTCAAAATCCAGAAAAACAACGCCCCCTTAGGGGGAAAAACTTCTCTTATTAAATTTGATTTTAATCCCTTGTATATAAAACACAAAAAGGTTCATTTCTAATCTGAATATAAACGAATTAAATTTGAACCCAAATAAAACCGATCCATTGTCCATTGTTAAAACTTCATAGTCTAGTTTAATAAAAAAAATTAGGGTCCATTTGGTGAATAGGGATCTTGAATCTAAATAAGAATGGTCCAATTATTTTGTTGAGTGAAATTGGAATCCCATTTCCATTTTTTATGTAATGATATAGAGCATTCTGATTTTGATTCCAATTCAGACTGTAAACCAAATAAACCCTTATCGGGGCTTAATTGAACACAAAGGTTGGAGGATGGGCTACGCGAGATGGAGTTTGCATCAACACCCCACAGTCGGGCACCCCAC